CGTAGGAGAATAGGTGTGGAGAATTTCAAACTTGTCCAGCCGGAAATAACACGTATTGTCCATGATCCCCCATTCTGACTCTTCCTACTCGATTAAGTAATAATTTCCTACCATTAGCTTCTCGACAGTTTTTCGACCGTCTGTAGGCGTTCCACGCAAAACCGATATGCCCATCGTTGTGAAATCGCAATAGAATTGAATTTATCATAGTCGAGAGGTTTTGCTCAGTAAGTAGCCATTTTTTGTCTTTCTGGTCTGCAATTGAAGTATGATGCGAAACAGACAGAAACGGTCATTGCAGCCGTCCTTCTCTGTGATAACAAGGCGCAGAATACATGTAAGCGTAAACACGTTTTATTTTTACTATCACATAAAATGAAATAATAGTAAATAGCAGAGGTCACTTGACATCGAAAGTAACCTACCTTTGGTTTCCCTTCTTGTTAGATTACACCCCCGACCAGTTGGCTGCTTTTGACAATGCACTTGCGAAACCAGACAAAGAAGCTGCGGACTCGCAGACCCAGATAAGCATCAAGGTGGCCCTCTCCACCCTGCCGATCGATGAAGTTGGTCCAGTTTCCCACGTAACTGCTTACATTGAACTCGCAAAACAGCCATCCATGCGCCAGGGAAATCAGTCTCTGTCCTTGTGCGATCGGCCATCCAAAAACGTCTGGTTCATGAACGACGTAGGTTTTTGAAATGCATTTTCGTTCCAAGTTTGCTTCTTCACATCAAACTGACAGTCAACTGACAAATTGTTCTGGTAAATATGGCAGTTTCAACGTCGGGTGTGCCTAATGTAATCTCTGCTCTTTTCTATCACCGTTGGCTGTACGGTGAGATCATCACTGCATTGCCTGCAACAAGGATAGAGTATTTTACCGGGAGCGTCGAAGACATGTGCCTGCACTCACAACTCGGGGTTTCCAGTTGGATAGACGCGTGAAATGATCTAGACCTACTGTGCTTTTAAAACTGCCGTATTGTAGGTGTCCTGAGGCCTTTGTCCGAAGTGAATGAGATCTATTCTAGAGTCTTCTTCGCCGTCAAAAAATATTGTTTTACTACAAGTAACCTAATACAACTGATAGTAGTCTTTTTGAATGTTAGTGAAGTCAAGAAAGTTCTGCGTTTTTCCCATTTCCATTAGTATTGCAAATTTCCAGTTTATGGTGTGGGATCTGGCGTTCAGTATTTGCGCAAAATGAACTGCGTTTTGTTGCAAGTCTAGATTTCTCGCAGATAGATTCGGGTTCGTGCATCAAACGGCAGCCAAGGCGTTTAGTGCGTGGAATGCCTCCGACGAAAATCTGCCCTTCCTCCTCACCCAGCGTTCAACATGATCTTCAAATGTTAGAGTGCATTCACTTACCGGTTGTATAGCAATATCTGTATCTGTAACGCTCCTATATACCATAGCCGGGTGGCAGTGTGGAGGCAAGAGGACCGGATACGGGATGGGAGACATTGGTTTAGCAAATTTAGACAAGTAGAAGGCGTTGCGATCACCGGAATCATACTTTTATTTGCCTGAGCTTTCGGGCTCCTTCTAGAGTCCACCGTCAGAGATAAAAGGTGTACACGAAAGGCAAGCAACAGTTATAGGACGCAAGGACCCATCAACCGTTATGGGGGAGGGGGACCAGTCAACCGATCGTACCATCACTCCGGAGATGCCTGCGCAGCGCGATATATGCCGGCGACAGATCGATAAATCGACTGACTGAGTTCTCATCCGAGACCCAGGCTTCAATCAATTTGCGGCCTGTTTTGTTGCCAGCGTGCGCGATTACCCTCACAGCTGCGTAATTAAACTCGTGACCGGTCTCGTAGGTATGGGCGGCCACTTGCGATGATGC